AATAAAAATAAAAGTTATTAAAAATGTTCAATAGTTAAATTTATCATTAATTATTAGTAGCAAATCACATGTAAGTTGTGAATATGCATGGAATAAAATATTTTTATAAAATTTTGATGTTAATTGGACATATTTAAGTTAATAGATATCACGTGAAACTTCATTGAGAAGCATATAATTCAACATTTATAATGAGCACTCATCTAGAAAATTATTTTAAATATATATTTAATTTTTTGTCGTCGGTTTAATATTTAAATAAGAGGTTTTTATGTCGTTGCACCGCCATGTCTTGATATGTTGATACTTTGGGTTTTTCCAATGGCGTACTAGTACATGTGGCCCATAAATCATTATAAAAATAAAACGATTTAATTATTTGTTTATTTAAGGTCAATAAAACTTCAACAATAAGATCTGTGAATGTATCCTTCAGATACTAATAATGTGTTTCCGAAAACTTAATAGACATTGAAAATAAGTAAGAACAATATATAAAAGAAAAAATAGTAATTTTGGCAAGTAATTACATTTGTACTATACATTTCGATGTTACTGAATGCCCTCAGGACTGCATTCTTTACTCGAAATTCATAATGGAAATGTGAAGAATTTAAAAATATCACTTTACGTAAGAATCGTTCAGGTTAAAGCCGTGGTTCCCAACCTGAGGGGCGCGACTCCTCAGGAGAGCGCAAGGCTATTGCAAGGGGGGCTTTCAAATGTTTCCAAAATAGAATTTTTAAAATATAACAAAAAAATTAAATTATATTAAAAAAAGAAAGTAAAATTATTTTTTATGAATATTTTACATAATATTGCATTTTACATAATTTGTAGTATGATAATATCAGTTGAGTATTTATGAAATACTCACGACTGTTTATTTTATAAGAACCGGGTCCTGGTGCGGAAAAGGTTGGAAACCACTGGGTTAAAGTGACTAGTATCAATTTATAAATGCGTTAATAAAATAAGTCAAAATTTTGAAATATTATTAGGTTTAATTAAATTTTTACACATTCGAGGGTGTTAATTTATTTAAACTATAGGTAAACTTATCTATATATAAATATGTTTATTGTGGATATGCTTACAATTAGATAAAACCGCTTGTAAAAAACGGAGTTATAACGACAATTTCATTTGTTTACATTTTCAATATTAAGTGAAGTTTTTCTATTTTAAAATAAAAATGGCGAAAAAAGTCAGTTTTCATTTGAATGTTGAACCTATCCAAAAATTAATAAATTTGATTGTTAAATAATGTCTCTTACTTATTTATTTAAATAAATTTTCATAATTTTTGTATCTCATAATAATAATAAAATAACATCAAATATTAAATACTAATGAAATGATATGGCATAAATATTAAATACTAATAAAAACATTAACAAATTCATTCATGAAAATAACATTCAATGCCTTAATTATTAAATTCACTGCGAAATTTAAATATTTGAGAAATGAATCATAGGAGTATTTAAAATTATTAAGAAATTGTTATTATGAAGTATGTTGAAAAATAACGATGAAGCAATGCATCTATTTATACAATTAGCATTATAAATCAAAGAGCAATACTTACCAGATATCTGAGCATTTATCAGTACAATGTTTTTTACAAACAATAGCGCGCATATTAACAAAAACATTATCACATAAAAACAAGTCAAATGGGAAATTCGACCATTCGCAAAAACAACACTATGCCGATTTAACTTTTTTTTTAAATATATCTAAAATTTTAATTAATATTCCACAACACGACACAACTTACAACTTAATTACGTCTCACCTCGCCAATGTCACATTTCAGACTAAACTGAAAGACTTAACAAAACCAGAACTTACGAGGTCTCTCCACTCAGCTGGATGTAAATGCAAATTATAGCAAAACGATGCGATGTTTATGTTTTTGTTCAATCAGACCTGGTGATATTGATAACGCCCTGTTTTAGCCTGCCAACGTCTTTCCTCAATAGGAAAATAATAAAAAAAAAATCTCTTTTTAATTATTATTAAATTACTATTCATATTCTGTATTAGTATTGCATGCTTTTTTCATTATATTACATACACTGGTATTATTTATTAATTAATTTATTTATTTAACGCCCATGGCAAAAATAGAATACTGAAGATAAAAAATGAAAAAAATTAATGCTTTTAAAAATCACAGACTACTAATTATATTTATATACAACACTTAGAACTATGAACATACAACATTTACAACCATTGTAACAGATTCAGCTAACGATTATAAATTCTCCCCATAAATAATACGTATTATAAATTAAAATTTTATTCCGATTATTTAACTGATTAAAATTATAATTAGTTATTTATATTGTCATTTGTTCTGTTGCCTGATTAAGCATACAAATTTTACACGATTTAATATCACTTTCCACGTTACATTAACACGTTTGATGTATACTCGTGATAATTGTTATTAATAATTCATTTTTTATTACAACATTATATTTCATTATAAAAATATAAATATATTAATAGTAAAGTTAAAAGTTTTTTTCCAGGAACATGCGCCTTGCGCAAAGGATTTCTGATTCCTTTTCCAGGTTAATTTCACACGTAGAATCTTACCTTCCGCCGATTCTTTAATTTTTAGAAATTAATTATGTCTAATTTTTGAACCCGATATGATTGATATCATAAATATCATATTGTTAATTTGGTGTAACTACAAAGATATTGAGTTGCTTTAAAAGAAATCAGATGATATTTCCAGATACCTAAATAGGTGATCAAATTGGATGATGAACAACGACCAGAATTGGCAAATAGCAATAAAATTTTATTCTATTTCGATAATACAAGGTCTCACATATCTTTGGTATCTTGGAGCAACTTAGGGGCCATCCATTAAACACGTGATCGTTTTTAAACATTTTTAAGCCCCCTTTTCTCCTTGGTGATACGTGGTGATATTCAATCGCTCCTCTTTCAATCAACAACACGTGTAATAATAGTAATAATAATAAATACACATGTGATCTAAATAGACTTCACCTCCCCCATCTGATATTTCGTGATTTTTTGTCAAACCTTTCAAACTCACGTGATTTGGACGGCTCCTTATTGGAACTGACATAGAGAGAAAATATGAAAAATTGATTGATTATAGTTCCTTTTAAAAAAATGTTTTATGTTGCACCCAATTACTTTCTTGCCAAACTATTATTATCACTTTTATCTTGCAATTTAAGTTGTAATAATTTTGTTCTAAATGAGTACATATTTCGCAATTATTTTTGCCAGTAGGCTTGCTCGTAGGTAAGCGGTTAAGAGCGATGGGACTTGTTTCAGAGGTCCCGGGTTCGATACCCACTTCGAGCAGCCTGTTGTCAGGCAGCAGTGACAACGATTTTCACTTGAAAATATAGATAGCAATATGTTTCCAAGTGCAAATAGCCCTTAATCCGGCATTGCTGCACCAATAAAATGTCAGCCCTATTAGATTAATTCTAGTAACAAAAATCATCAAATATGGATGTATTAACCATTGGGTTACCTTCTAAAAAAATACGAAGGAAGGAGAAGTTTCAGCCCAACAGCTCATAGGACGTAAGGTTCTGATTGCTATTCAAAAATGATAAAAAAAAATCTACCAGTTGAGTTATGGTAATGCTGAATTTAGTGTAAGTATTAAATTATTGATATTAGTAATATATTTGAATGTTTTTATTATTTTAATATTTATTAAATCAGAAATAATATTTTATTATGGAAATATACTCATTTATGCTGAAGATAAATCAATATTTTTCCCTTATTTACAAATTTAAAAATTGTCGATCTTATTTATACTATCCTAAGTAAATAGAAGAACGTTTCAAAATATACATATATTGAGTAGAAATTATTAGATATATATTTTATATAAATAAATGTTTAACATAAAATGCTTAGATATGATTACAAAATTTGTGTTACAAAACAGTCGATTGTAAATTTACATAATTGAATAAATACGTAAACAAGTGGTGTATGGCATCGTGCCTTAAGCCAAATTGCTGGAACTTCTCGTACCGTAATGAAAAATTCGAGAAATATTAAATGTTTTCAATTAGATTATTATAAATACTGTAACTTGTTTGTTTACAGAAAAGTAAATAAACAAAACTTAAACAATCGAATTTAAAATGAAGGGCTTTGTATAATATTTATAAGAATTATATAAAGTGAAGTGCAATGTTAAAACTATTTATTTAAAGTATTTAATTGAGCTTTAGAACTATAGCTAGAAAAAAAATCAAATCCGAATTAATTTCGATATTAAAAAAAAAAAATTTTAAATTAAAAAAATGTTTTTTTTCCTAAAATCAATAATTTCGTCAACACAAGCAGAAAGTTTTTTGAATCATTCAAATCGGATGCTCTCTCAAAAACTGCAATTTTTTGCACATTTAGCTCCGTATCTTCGAAACGGTTGGACCTGCCTTTGCCAAAAACTAACCATCACTTCCCCCATCATTACAAACTGAATGTTTTTTAGATCATTCAAATCGGATGCTCCGTTCTTTCATAATCTCGATTTCTATTTTCTGCACTCTTTGCTGCGTATCTTTGCTGCCTTTGCCAAAAACTAATCAGCACGTCTCCCTATCAATAGGAATCGAATGCTTTTTGAACGAAAGAGTGCGGACATACAAAACACACACACATCCATTTTTTCTGAGGTATGCCAGAAACCTTCATAACTACTGCTGAACTAAATGTGATCAAAATCTATCTTAATATTTAATATGGAAAATAATCTAATTTTAAATAATATTTAACATTTATTTAGCATATATATAAAATTTATTTCTTTCATAATTAAGAAAATCATTCAAATTTATGTTGCTCTATCTATTGGCAGCATTTCTTACTACTCACTTCGAATATGACATATACAACAAAAAACATTAATATCTTGTTTGTATCGGTCTCTACGTTTATTTGTTGCCAATTTGTTTCATTAATGCATGTCGGCGAAACAAATGTTTGTGCAAATTGTTGTTTGTTTAATGAATATTTTATAAAGTGATCTTAAATTAGTTAAATTTATTTTTTTAATTAATTCTTTGTTTCGCTTTAAAAGTTTAAATTATACTGCATCTTAACGTAAGTATTTTGTGTTTCAATTATAACCCCAAAAATATATAAAACAAAGTTTGTTTTATATTATATATATATATATATATATATATATATATATTTATATATATATATATATAATATAATATAATATGAAAAATTATAACTTAACAAATAAAATGTTAAAATATGTATTAATGAATATTAAAATGAAATTAGGCAAGCACAAGTAAATCTTGAAAATCGTTAAGAAAATGTGATTATACACAAAAAACAAATATAAAGTCGAGATGAGTCATATCAAGAAGTAAAATGCAGGCTAGATAATTGAAATTTTCTAATGATTTAATTTAGTTTTTTTAATAAAACAGATATTTATAGAATTGCTTTTCATCATGTGCTAAAATAATTAGACTGTAAATTTCTTTCAATCTTTCCAATAACAATAAATTGTATTTACATATCAAAGTCTTATGTAGATCTTTACAAAAGAATTTAAGTTAATATATTAATTACAGCATGAGTGACAATCTAGGTGACTTGGAATATATACTGCCTCGGATTACTACTGATGATTTACGGGAATTGAACTTGTAAGTAATACATCAAAACTTTAACATATGTAAAGATTTTAAATATACAGTAGAAACTTGATTATCTGGACCTCAGTTATACGGATTCGCGATTATCCAGACTCCCCACAACCAATTTATATGTATGTACATACCTGCAATTCGAATTTTTGCATGAATAATGCTACAGTTTGTATGTATGTAATGCAATCTATGAAAATATATATGTACATACATAGGGAAATGTTAATTTCTTATTAAACGTTTTTGTTGATATCTGTGCATGTAATTGTTATTTTTGATAAATATACATCATTATTCTTCATACATTGGATTATACGGATGCCTATTGACAACAATTAGTCCGGTTAATCGAGGTTCTACTGTATTTGAATTTGCTAAATAAATGATACAGTCAACTGTTTAGCCATAGATATTTGAAAAGTACTCATTTGCTATCTAGTACTTTAACTCCCCATATTAATAAGTAAATAGAATTTCTGTTTTTTTTAATAATTTGTGTGTTTTATCAATTGAGCAAAGGTCAAACTCGAAACATGTTCAAGTCTGTTTTTTTTTTTAAATATCTTGATTTAATATCTGGATTATTGTTTATTAAATGAAACATCTTCTGACTTTAAATTATTAAATTATTAAATGTATGAATATACTGAAAGTATGTAATATGTTCATTTTATTTCAATTACATAATTTCAAACATATGTACTTGTAATTAGCATAAATCATGTTTTCATTAAGAATATGATTTTTTAATGTGTGATGCAAGAACACTCTGTTATTGCTAGAGAAAATTTTGGCTTGCGTTTTTTTTTTTTTTATTGACTAATCTTGCTTGTGCAAACAAGGTTTGAGATTTAAAAAAAAAATATATAAATTTATTTCTGTACTATATATATTTTTGTCTTATCCATATTTATATTTTGTGCATGATTTGTTAGAAATTTTATTCTGAAAATTATTTTTATTTGCAACAAATAGAAGTCAGCTAATTTTATGGTGATTGAGAATTCAAGAAAAATGAAATAGTTTACTATAAATTTTTAATTATAGAGAAATTAATTATATTCTTTTTATTCTCAGGGATTTAAATTCATGGTCTGATAGCAATGTAAGTATTAGAGTTCTTTCTTATTTTATTGTAATTTTGATATTATCACTATTTTTTAAATGTTTTTATAAATAAAAATTTAATTGCAATAAATATAGAATTAAAATATGCCTAATTAAGTGTATATTTATTTTAAAAACAAATTAGACATTTTTCAAATCATTAGTGATTTTTTGTATAAGATATAAAACAAACATTTATTAGCAGACTGAACTTCCATTTCTGGCCATACCACCTGATTCAGATCCAGCACAGCGGGATATTAAAACTGAGCCGACTAGTCACTCCTCTGCAGAATATGATGGTTTTTCTACCATGGTAATTATTTTCATTATTTTTCTTATAGTCTTATTTAATTTACGATACATATCAAATTAAGTAATTTTGGTATAGCAGATTGTTCTGGATACTTGTAATTGCATTTTGTTTATAAATGTTTTTCTGAATTTAATAGGCGCTACAGAATATGAATTCAGCTGCCATTCAACATTCAGTACAAACTGTTCCCAGTAACAAGGACTTTGCTGGGGATTACAACTTTGATCTCAAAGTAGCATGTAGCAAACTTGGACAACAAAAACCTCAAGTTACTGTAAGTAATTCTTAAAAATAATCTATGGTATTGAACTTGTATTAAGGACAAGTGGTTACTAGTAGAATACGTACATCGACCTTTTTGTACATGATTGAATTATATTATATTTTGTTATTTTATCAAAAAAAAAGTCTCTTAAAATAATATTATTTTTTAAAAATGTTTTCAGTACTCTCAAAAACTGAATAAGGCTTTTATCAACATGGGACATACACTGCCAATAGATTTTTTTGGAACCCTATGATCCCTGGATTGTTTGTAAGAGCAACAATGCTGTATTCTAGCCCTCATGATGCTCCGAATCTGGTTATGAGATGTAAAAATCATAAGACTATGAAATCAAGCGATAGTGAGTATTATTTAATATTCATTTTGATTTTATAAATTATAATTATATATTTTATTTATATTAATTTTATTTATATTAATTTTAATTATATATTATAATTAGTAGTTAATTTTGATGTTGTGATACATCCCAAAAAAGGCAAAGATTTATAAATTAATACTTAATTCCAAAATGTTTTGATATACAATTTAATATCATAATTGAAATTATATATATATAAATCGTTATTTCAGATTTAGATGATTTCAATAATTCTGATCATGTTTTGTTGTGCAAGTCAGTGGGAGCTCAGTACTTTGGTTCAGTTGATTCTAATACACATTTGAATGTGACAGTGCCGTTAGGCAATGTGCAGACAGGTGATTGTTCTGTGAGAGTATTATATGAATTTGCTTGCAAGCATTCTTGCGTCAGTGGCATGAATCGACGCAGTGTTGAGTGCGTTTTTACCTTAGAGAATTTGGAGTAAGTATTTTCTTAATTGAAAAATTTATTTTTACAAACTGAAATTGAATTCTTTTCTAAAATAATATTTATGACAATATGTAAGGTATTGTCTTAGATAAGAGAAGAGTGTCTATAGTAATTAATGCTTCACTTATTGTTGTGAATAAACAAAATGATAACATTTTGGTTAAATTATCTTGGTTTCTAACAATAACTATAGCCAAATAATTATTCAATCTATGTATGTATATTTTCACCGTTAAGTTTTATTACTATATTGTTATAAATATTTTTTCATTAAAATTTGTTTCCTTATTAATAATTATTTTTATATGTAAAAGTGGATGATTACAATGTCACATATATCTGAAAATAATATGTAATAGTTGTACTTCTAAAATGATAAAGAATAATAAACATATTGTCAAGAAGTTGACATTCTGTTTATTAATGTTGTTATTGAATTATATGTTAATTAAAGTGAAAGGCTATAGACATTTTAGACTTAGCTTGTATTTTTCTTTATTATACGGTTATATATTTCAGTGACTTAAAATGATATGTATGAGTATAAGACTTTTTCTTTTTCTCTAGTAACAGAAGATATACTAAAAATCATGATATAATTTTTTTTTTTTTCAGTGGACAAATACTTGGTCGAAGAAAAATTGGCATCAGAGTATGTAGTTGCCCAAAACGAGATATGAACAAAGAGGAAGAACATGATAACAAACCAAGTGGAAAACGAAAAATTAAACAATGTTCTGATGAAGAACCTCTGCCAATTGAAATTGCCAAAAAGAGTAAGGACTCTGGGCCGTTGGACGCTACATACTATGATCTCCCACCTGTGAGTCTTTATTGTATTAATGTTTTTATATACTCTTATAATTTTTATAATATTGGTTAACTACTGTGGAAACATCTGTTTTCTACATAAATATTATTTCAATTTAATTAAAGATCAATTTGAAACTATATTCCATGTTACGGTGAAATTTTGTAATCTATTATTTATATTAATTAACTTGTTGACTTATTACTTTCAATATTCACTTGCAATATAAGTAAAACAAAAGTTTTTAACAACATTGATTTAACACCGAATTGATTATAGTGGCATAATATTTTTTGTAAATTGTTTTAGCATTTTGTAGAATGTTTCTAAATATTTTTAAAATATTTCTAGGTCATGGGTAAAAAGAATTATGCAACGACAGTGCAATTAATATTTGGTATTTTAAGTGGTGCAATGGTTCGTTCTTCGCCCGAAGATCAACTAAAACTGCAGCCTTGTGTTGCGGAATATGAAAGACTGGTGAATGAACTTGAAAGTAAGTGTAGAAATTTTAAACATTTTTAATAATGAATTTATTTTTATATGCATTTATTTATTTATTTACAGAAAAAACATGAACCAAGAATGAATGTTTTGGTTTAAACATGTTCACCAATTTATATTTCTATGACCCAGTTATATTAGTATGTATAGTTGTATCTCAATAATTTTAGTTATATTACATATAATAATTATATGTAACTGCAAGCAAATGAATTTAAAAATCATAGTTTTAATTTACAGGTTTTGTCATAGATATTTTATATTAATTAATTTGGAACTGCAGGTCATTGATATTTTCAAAACTCAGACTTTAACATGTTTTTTGTAATACTTTGCATTACTTAAAATATGATAGTCATTTTTAAAACTTAATAAAAATTAGACTATAAGATAAATTAAAAAAAGAAATTCTGTGCTGTGACAAAACTATGTATGTTTAGTGGATAATGTGCCTAAAATTAAAAATATTAATTGAATGTTTTTATATGAAATATTGTTAGTTATTTGGCGCAATACTAGCACGAAGGAAATAGGTGATGGTTTATATAACATTAAATGTAGAATAAGTTATACCTAATTGTAAGAAAGATATATGTTAATTAAAAAAAAATTATTCAATTTAATTGTGTCACATTCTTTTCAGGATGAAAATTATATACTTAGTAATTATAAATATTAACTGCTTGATCAAAAATTCAAAACGTTTTGTTAGAATTGTTACTTCACAATATTAAACTATAAGCTATCGATGACAAACTATAGGATTTCAACCTATATGACTATAATGATGCCAATTAGAAAGGCTATTGCAAGAGGAGCATGCAGCTGTTTTCATACAATAATATTTTTTAAAACAAACCAAAAAAGTCGAATTAGAACCCATAGAATGAATACATAGATTATTATTTTTATAATAATGATATTTTGTAGCCGGTTAAATAAATTATAATATTAAAAACGGAGGTAAGGCTCAAAGTATAAAATGATTGCAAACCACTTTTTCAGACACTTATTGATATACTACATAACTGCAATTATGATGCAAAAAACTCTTTGTTTGGCAAAGCAACCAGTTTGTAATTACATAGTTATATTACAACTTCAATGGAAACAATAATCAACCATATTTAATGCAGATGCTTTAAGAGTGTATATTTTTAACTTCCCGTAGGGTTTTCGGGCGCACGCATCAACCGATTTGAATGATTCAAAAATGGTTGAAATGGTTCGTTTCCTTTTGATAGGGAGATGTGCTGATTAGTTTTTGGCAAAGGCAGCCGTTACGGAGATACGGAACAAAGAGTGCAGAAAATAGAAATCGAGTATTTGAGAGAACGGAGTAGTATCCAATTTGAATGATCCAAAAAAACATTCAATTTGTAATGATCGGGAGAAGTGATGATTAGTTTTTGGCAAAAGCAGGTCCAGTCATTTTGAAGATACAGATCTAAATGTACAAAACATGATTTATAATATTCTATTTAAAAACATTTATTATTCCTCGTCAAATTTAGTTACGATACGAAAAGTTCCAGCAATTTGCCTTAAGGCACGATGCCATACACCACTAGTTTTTTTTAATTTTCAAAAAAAATTTTGGAATTTGAATATTGAAATAAATTCATCAAATATTTTATTACAGCACGGAAAGTTCCTGCAATTTGCCTTAAGGCACGATTCATTCATACCATTAGTTCAGGTCATTATTATGAATTCAATAAATTTTAATATTATTTAGGGCAGAGGTCGGCAACGGGGCGCCATGGCACCCCCGATCAACTTTAGATGCGCCCTCGGTTAATATAAATGTATGATAACCTTAGCATAAATCAATTTCACATTTTCCAAATATAAGGCATATTGTTGAAAGTCTAAAAATAAATATAGAAAATTTTACAACTACATCATATTTAGAAGTTATAGACAAATTGGCAGAAGAGTTTTGTTCAAGATTTCAAGATTTCGCAGCACTAGAACTCATTCTAGGTTTTTTTATAAACCCATTTAAAGTTGCCGAAGATGATCATCTTATGCAAAGTGTTTCAGTGTATTTCGAAATTAGTAATATCGAAGATGTGAAGTAGAAATAATAAACTTGCAAAATAATATTATTGTAAAAGCACATAGTAATGATAAAATGTTTTGGAAGTCGATGAAAATAAGTATCCTATTTTAAGGAAATGTGCGCTAAAAATTTACTCATTGTGCAACAACATATAATTGCGAGTCTTATTGTTTTCAAATATGAAATATTTGAAATCAAAATACCGAACAAAGTTAAATGGCACATATTTAAATAACTGTTTGCGGACAGGGAGCTCTAATTATATTCCCGATTATAAAAAAATAGCTGAAAATACGGACACACAAGTTCCACACTAAATTATATGTATATAAAAGTATTATTAAAAGAATCATACTCTTCTTTTATCGATGTACTGAATGTTTGTGATGTATATTTATTATATTATATTAAGAGAATAAAGTTATAAAAAATCTTTTTTTTCATACCGATTTGCCCTCGGTAATTTTCAGATTTAAATTTGTGCCCTTAACGGCAATCAGGTTGCCGACCCCTGGTCTAGAGTTCAGGTTTTCTTTGGCAGTATTACGTATACAAACCGTATCAAGAATTATTAAGAAGGTTTGTTAACATGCTGTACATGTGCTGCCACCTCAAACCTTCAAATAACAATGAAGTAACGCCAAATCGCCAGGCGCAGCGATCTATTTTGTACTAGTTTGTTTGTGATCGTTTGAGGTTCTAAATCTCGCTAGTTTATTGATATTGCTGGCACTCACATTTGACATTTGGAACGGTAAGATGCAAATGTTTTCTTTTGTTTTTTTTTTGTTTTTTAATGTGATAGAATTAAATCGGTTTGTCAGAATATTATGAAACAAAAATATAAGTTTTGTAGAAGTTATTGTGAAGCATGTATTAAAGTAAAATTGCCATCAGAAAAAAATCCTAAATTAGCATATTGAATTAAAACATGTTGAATGCCCGCACAGCTTTATTCGTGTCTTTAACGGCAATAATAATTTTTTACATCACGACATTTCGAGAGACTTACGGAATAATTAAATATGTGAAAACCAAATTTCTAACTAATAACAATCAAGAGGTGTCGGAAGATGTTTTACTACTTTCTGAACATGAATTATTAAGATATAACGGTGACAGCGGTTCGAAAGGTTTATACCTTTCGATTTTAGGGATCGTGTTCGATGTTGAAAAAGGTAGGAAACACTATGAACCTGGTGGCAGTTACCACGTATTTGCCGGGCGAGATGTTTCGAAATCCTTTATAACAGGAGAGTTTGAAAGCGACCAAATTGACAATGATGTCCTGACATTAGATGACAAAGAAATCATAAGTCTTAAACAATGGCTAGCTTTCTATTTTAAAGAATACAAATATGTGGGAAAATTGATTGGCCAATTTTATGATAATAATGGACACAAAACAGATTATTTAAAGCGGTTTGAAGATAAAATCATTCAGGCAGAGCGGAATGAGAAGGAGAATAAAAAGATTCTAAATCAGTATCCTGCATGCAATATAGAGTGGGCTGAAGGAGTCGGCACAAAGTACTGGTGTACAAATAGAAGTGGTGGTCAGCTTCGGGATTGGGTTGGTTTTCCTAGACAAATCTTTGACCCTAACTCCAATACTGAACGATGTGTTTGCGTTCAAAACCCTTCCGATACTGCGAATCAGTATAAACCATATGCTAATTGTGATACTTTATCAGAATTTTGTTTTTTAAACAATTAAAATTTGGATGTATGAATGAATAAGATTTTTGTATCGTGTTATTGATATTAATTTAAAATTTATGTTCATTATAGCACAACTTATTTTAGCTCATCCGTAAATAAAATAGTTTGAAACCATTTTTTTTTTTCAATATTCATTTTTATAAGGATCATCTCAACAAAAAAATTGTAGCTTTTTCACTTAAAATATTATAAGTATCAATCATTTTTTTATATTATATTTAATTTAATATATCTATGTTTACTATTTATTAAGACTCAAGAAATCCGTTTAAAAAGTAATTTTTTTTTTCATGATGAATGATGATGGTGCGAATGTTAAATAAGACAACAGAAGTATTTATTACATAATTTATTTATCACATTATATTAAGTTTCAAAATCTACTATATATTTTTATACTGAATAAAATTATTTATTGAATTTTAGATTTTGTTTATATATAATATTCAACTGCAATATTAACATAAATCTATTTAGTATTTATTCACCTTATAGAACTTTAACTGACTTCAACAGTCGAATTAGATAATTCTATAGATATCATGTTTATTGTAGAATCTATTTTATAACAATATTTAGATGAAAGTATATCATTCCAACATGTTGTTAAAGAAATTGCTTTTCCTGTAAATACCTTCTTGTTCACAAAAAGCTTGACACCAAAGTTATTGTTGTCGTTACATCCCAAAATCCACAGCCATATATAATGTTGAGTGGTGTTTGCTTTTACATATCCAATAAAAAATATATCATTATTTTCGTTAATTAATGATATTATATATGGATTTTTGGATAATTTTAAATTAATTTCACGTTTTATATTTGGCATTATAAAATACTGTAAGATTGGTTCTTCATGTTCTGTTTGTAAATGGGACATCAGACAGTCCTTTTTAAATCTAGTCATACAATGCGAACTTTTTGGGCAGTTGAAAAGCTTTGTTTTAAGTGTATCATCATTTTTACACTCAAGCTCGTTTACGGGCGTCATTATGAATGGTTTTTTGAACAATTTTGTTCCTGTGGGATATGTTATTAATTTTGACAACGTGTTTTTAGGATTATCGCGATTACAAAACGGCGATAGCCTCGAGTTCAGCAGGACTCCGCGAAACGTTTTATTTTCTTCTGGTTTTACGCTATCGACTGAAAAGTAAATATTTTAACATTAATATACTCCCTTTTAAATTTAAGTATACAAATTACGTAGTCCCAAATGAGCGCGATTGTATTAAATTTTGAAAGAACGCTGTAACCGGAAGTATTTTACAGTATTCCTTTAAGATGATTTTGTGCTTAAACAATGTTCTATATGAATAATTTCTTTGAATAAGTCGTTTTATTATTAATATGTAGAATATATCTTTTCTATATTGTACATTTTAAGAATAGTAAATATTTTTGTATTATATAGAAATGACTTATATTCGCAATATGAACACTGACCTTTTCGATCCCCGAATGTTGCTGCTAAAACGGCGAATAACTTGTCCGCCAGCAAACATCTCCCTCGTGGCCCCAATGTGACCCTACAGACAGGGCATCGTTCGCTGCGTCTTCTGCATGTACCGCATAAGACGTGACCGTGGCAACACTGCCAAGCGGGGGGCTTTAATACCTCCAAACAAACAGGACACTCGAGCAATTGGGCGGCACTTTGGACGCACGCGGATAGACGATGCATAGAAACCTGAAAAATAATGAGCAAATTGTTAATGGGTTTTTGCCTTCAGGCAAGTGGACTGAGTTAATTGAGTTGATCAGCAACAATTGAAATTCATCGAAACGTTTTGGAATTTCTAATAGATTTCCAATCCTTACTTATGAAGATTTATGTCATATATTTTGTATCCAAACGATATCTTCAAAAAGGATTAGATTTTTTTAAATCAATTTATTAGGGTATTTAGGAATTTTAAGAAAAAAATGTCTTTAACTGTTTATTGCAAAAAAAACTGCTCTATCCACCATTTATTGTTAACTATTTTTGAACTTTGAAAGCATAACAAAAATATTTTATCTGTAAACCGATAGATATTTATCAAAAACTATTTAATTTTATCTAAAAAAATGGTCATGAAGAAACGGTTTGATCGATCTTTACCAGAATCCCAACAGATAATGTAATGATATATTATATGTGCTCACTATAGCTAATATTATATAATATTAGAAAAGTATATGCATACATATAATATGAAACAAAAACAAAAATAAAAATACTACAAAAGTAAAGGAAAGAAAAAAAATCGCTTCAGTCTGGTGGGCTGGACTTTCGAGTACATTATTGGGCTTGCTAAATCGTTAGAATGGACGTCGATTCGTGGTTTCATAATTGGAAGCGACCAGTGCGATTTGTATATTAACCAAAAATATTTAAAATATTTTGTGTTATAATAGATAACGGAGAAATAAAATTCGATTGATAAAGATATGTACGAACATAATTTTTTACATTTTGATGACCTTTTTGTGAAAAGAGCCTTGTGCGACTGCAGTATTACATTAAAAAATCCAAAAAAAATGGAGTAGGGAACTTTTAATATTTATTTCATACGCTTCAGATATAGCTTTAATTAATTTTGTGTGAAGATTAGTCCCAAAGATTGCTTTTTGGAATCGGTCAAACCGTTTGTAATCAATTCCCAAAAATTTTGACTGTGTGAAAAATTCTAAAAACTCTGGTTCTCATTTTGCATCAATATTACGATTATATTATTTTGTATTATGACCGTTGATTTCAAAACATGATTTGGTGATCATAAAGTCAAAACTTTAAAATAAAACATTAAAATTTGAGAAAATAATTTTCTTGTATCGAAACCAAAACATTCAACTTTTATTGAAGAAATATTGAGAAAAGTCGGAACTAACGATAAGACGAGGAAACACATTTTCAATTTGTGGCGGAAATTAGCAAAATATTAATTCGAGTATTCATTTTTATTGGGCAGAAGTATATGGACTATATGAAGTACCAATATTTGGACAAATTTAGGGTTTTGGATAGAAAAAAACTGAGAAGATAAAGAGGATATATAAATACACAAATGAAGATATATTGCGAAGCAAAGTGGTGATAAACACTGAAATAAAAAATGCATTATCTCCACATGGCAAAAATAATGCTTATTGTAATATTTTATTAAAAGCGTAAAAAATGGGCGGCAGTAGTTATTTAAAATACAGATGATTGACGACCGAGAAACATACTGAAATTCAAAGGTTTAGCCATGGGTGGCGTGTAGAACCTTTTCAAGCCTACGAGGGAAAACAACGTGCTCACCTTACTATTTAATATATATCACGATCATGTTTATAAAATTGCATTGAATGAATGACTTGTGTGTGGTATGCTATAAATAAATTATGGTTTTTGTCATAAACCTTATTGTTAGTATGTAAGGCTAGCCTGTATACGTTTTTAAATTTCATGTTTCATTGCATATATGTGATTAAAAAGTAACAGAGCCTTCTTATTGTATCCAACAATAAGCGAAAACATGTATTTGCAATGGCAAGATTTGAATAATAATATGGTTATGTAAGAAAATTACGTAGTTGGGATGCTGTACATACTAGCAGATCTATACATCCGCATACCGATGCGAACAAAAGTCTCGCGAAACAAAGGGAAAGTGTGTGATATCAACTTTTTTACCTTTGAATATCTATACTTATAAATTCGACAAACGATTATTATACAGTAAGTTCAGAGTTTCGAACAAATTATTAGGAAAACAATGCGCAAGTCCTATGTTTTTATACCTTGAATTATACAGCATACTATCCCGTCATTAATTCGACGAACGCCGGGTATAAAGAGTTTCGTAATGAATATCATTGTGTTTCAATGAAATTAAAGTTAATTGATTTCATAATAATCATCATTATTGTTTGCGTTTATTAACATTCATATTTATGTGGTAGGTACGGTTGTGCCACTTTTTTTATCAGCAATAATTTTGTTAATTTACCAGTTAGCTGAGAGAAAAATAAATTAAATGATAATTTCAACATTTGTCTACGTGAAAATGAAATACTGTTCTTTAAAACGATGTGTTGATCATAAAATCAAATCATACAAAAAATGCGAGTGTCACAACCATCCACACCCGAAGGACAGAAAAAATATATGTTGATTCGCTTTCATTTACAAATAAAAAAATAACCTTGGTTCCTGAACGAAGATGCAATAAAATTGTAATTCGGATGTTTTTGCGACCAGGCTGCATTGTATCTATGATCTTAATAGACTATTAAGATCAGATATAATACTATAATAGCCATTATACTTTCAATTGTGCATAATATTTCAATTGTATGGTGATTGTATCAATAATATTTGTAATATAGTATTGAATGCGTCTAATCCTTTCACTATCACTCCCTTTGAGATAAAATAGATAGAAGATTAAATATTGAGAAATGTTAGTTGAACATCTTTGTTGTTTAACTAGAACTGTGCTATCGTTACCACAACCTTTTTACAATATAGTTTTAAAATACCAGAAATTGCTCAAATAGTTTTTTTTTGCACGTAACATTTAGTGCATTTGAATTTTCTGTTATTTTTCTAATTTGCCACTTTTGAGTTAATTGAATGGGTTCCTAGTATATTTCCTATAAATGCATTTCCTAATAAATGCATTGATAAGGTTTTAAAATTAGGTCGGTTGTACTTTTTTGCATAAAGCTTTCTTTTGTTATTTAAAATAATATTTTAATGTACCAAGGGGCGTAGCTCCCGTCACATTTCTACCGTATTTCAAGCAAACATTAATAAAATATTTCCAAGTTTTTCATAAAGGCTTTAGAAATACTAAAGCTACCATCAGCTATAGATTATTTAATAAATCAAAAAAAGATTTTGCCAAAAGATAGAACAAAAAAAGTTTGCCAAAAAAAGACAAGAGTTCATCATCCAATATTATTATGGATCGTGAAACATACGCATTTGACCAAACTAGTCAGTAGATTGGAATGAATGAAGAT